TCAATGGTGCGAGTCTGCTTCCCAAGTCAGCAGAGGAGAGTAGGCGGGCTAATAAGGAAATCGCAATGGTAGGGCTGCTTCCGCCCACATGATCAGCACGAACTATAAGTTGGGACGGTGAACCTTCGCTATGACGCTTCAGCTAGCCTGTACACAAGAAGCCTTCTTCGCAAGAGATTCGTAAGTCCAGTTCTGGAAGCTTTGCAGAGCGATACAGATCTGGTGCTCCGTGGAGGGACGGCCAATGTGAACGAACTCGCAAGAACACCCCTAATTTACTCGGATCCAGAACTTCCAGCACAATCAACCCATCATCAGGAACATCTGTCAACTGTGAGCAATAGAATTTCAAAAATTTGAAGCTTTCTATGTTGCTGGCAATGAATTATGGATTGGTATTCAGATTCCAGAACTTGGAGATGGAGGGCTCTCGGATCAGTCAATGCATAGTGATGGAGCTCATACGGGAGAACATCTACACCCAGAAAACACGTAAGGCCGTGCAGAACTCTCGCTAAAATTCCCAAATTGTTCTGGTTTCCCTTTTTTGCGACTTTGCATTTCATTTTTATTTGATCTAGAATTTTTCTTTATATTCATTACTTCAATGTAGTCCAAACTGAGCTGCAGAATTTCAAACTCTGGTTCTAAATCAAAAATTATAGATGGAAACAACACGTCAAATTTCATGGAGCTAAATTGTTATTCCATAAATTAAATTTATTTGAAGGAAAAAATTCCAGATTCAATTAACCTAGACAAAAAATTAGGGTTAAACTGAATGCGGAATCTAATACTATTTGGTAGATATTTCATGAGAATGGTCTGCTTTTTAATTCTACAACCTTGAACTGAAGTATATCAAAAAAATTTATTTTTTTCATTTTAGGAATACTAGGTTGAAGAGTGACTTGGAGATCCGTCATCAGCATTACCAGAAGCAGAAGCAGTACTCGGAACAGAAACGGCAACGACGGTTGACCGATATCGATTTCGAAGGTGCCTCTAGGTGTTCCTCCATACTCATTTCAACTAATGATTTATTTGGGATGAGCCATGAATCCCGCTTATAGTTGACAACGTTGTAATCAGTCGGGGCGTTGTAAGGAGGGGCGGAATGAGCCAGCCTCCTTCCGCCTTGCTCTAGCGATACCACTGATGATCGGTTAGTATCAGTTCAGGAAGAAAACAATCAGTGGTAGAAACGCCGCTGGTAGGCTCATTCCATCCCTCTTGAAAACGCCCCGACCGACGATATCAACTGTACTGATGGATATACAACTACAAGTTGGAAGGCAGTATGGTTGACTGTCTCCGCCCACACAATCATCGCGGACCTCAGAACTGTGATTTCATTCAGGAATTCTGAGTATTATTGGTGGCTGTTCAAATTGGCAAGTGGTCGTGTATTTGATGATTTCCGTACAGCAAGTACCTCACGCAATGTTCAATCTCAGTGTCGTTTATATGATGTATCAACCAGACCACTGGTGTAAGGTAGGGATTTTCGAGATTGTCACAAGAATGCTGGGGCAGAAGAGGCGAAATTCCCAACCCAAGGGGGCTAGATTGCCCCTCAAAGCATCTCCTTGACCTCACTACTTTTCCACTTGCGATATCGGTTTCGTTTATGAAACGAACAGAGTTTCCGGACCAGGGTACAGCATCGTTGTGTGAAACACATAGGGGTCGTACTTTTCCGCTGGGGAGGGGGGTCGTATTTGGTCGTTGGGAGAGGGGGGGTCGTATGTGCCTTTGAGAGCAATTTGCTGCGTTGGGAAAAAAATTTTCCCGGTTGTTGACTTTTCGCGTGATTTTTCCTGTTTCACGTGTGCCCCCTCCCTCTCCTCGCTCGACAGCAAAATTCTTGGGGAAAAGCAGGAAGCAGGAAAGTTTCTAGGAAATTCTGGAAAAAGTGGAATAAAGTTGGAGAAGACTAAGAAACTTTCCCGTTTCACATTGGCTATAATACACCCCACCCCCGCTCCACGGAAAGTCTTTGGGTGAAAAACTGGAAAATGCGGGAAATTGGTAGTAGGTGCTTAGGAAGGGGGGGGGTAGTAGTGACACCCTCCCTCGAGGAGGGGGTCGCAATAAGGTATTGCTGTGACATGAGAATGAGTACGTCATCTAGCTGATGGATTGCCACTCGAACCAGTGTTTCTATCCCCAACGCCTGGTCGATTACAAGTTAATCGACCTCGTTAGGACGAAAGGGTTGGTCGAAATGGGTTAGGCTGATCCTCCAAAGTGCAGTGGACTTCGCTTCATAGGCACGCAGCCTCCCCCCCCCCTCCTCTCGCCCCATCTCGATGTGTGTACCTGAAGGAAGTAATAGAAAGCTCACCTTTCTTGAGAATATTCTTCGTATTATTTGAGTTCGTTCCAGATACCTTTTTTCAATGCTGAAGTCTTTTCACAAACAAACTCTACCTCTTATACGTGGGATGACGTGCTCAATTCACGTATAGCTTTTCCTACGGTAAGTTCAATTTCTTCTTGGTGCAAGTTGCCAAACTGAGGCAGCTCTGCGTTGACCAAGGTCAGCCTGCAGTAATCAGAACTGTGTTACTAGGCTTAGAAGAGGCTGTGTCCAATGGTTATTGACTAGTAGATGTCCAGAAGCCGATGCAGAATCTGATCGGTGGGCCACCAATGCTCAGGAACACGGTTTCTATCAACTGTGCACCCGCTGCCTGGGGGGGGGGGATCTGTTGGGGCTAGAACAGGTAAACCGTTCTCGATTATTTCGAGGTCACCTAAGAACTAAAGAATCATCAAGGAATTATGTGCTTCCATTCTTTGTACGTGGATCGCCTGAATGCACTGCCCTCGCGGTCATATGGCTGAGTTCAGTAAGTATGTCTCTTCCTTTTCCCTGCCCCCTCCCTCCATCAATGAGACTAAGATGGGGAGCAGGCCGGTGACAAAAGCCCAACCGTTGATTTTTCCCATACACGATATCGGTGCCTGTAGCGGATGGTATCTGCCTACTGTAACTGTGTG